ACCGCAACCGCTTACACGACCCCAGCGTAGTAGTTCTCTTCTGCTAAACCCGGGAAATCCAGTTCCCCGTGCATGTCAACCCTTAAAATTGCCCAGTTGCGTCTTTCACCCTTCTAGAAGGTTGAAGTAATCCGGAATCAGACGGCAGAGCATCAGGCAGTGCCGGCAGCACGCTTTAATGTAACGGCTGCGGCCTGGCGCTGCTGTGTTCTGTACTTGGCCCCTCGCTTGGCTCCCAGACTGCGCTCGCCTCCCCCTGAGGAGGGGTGCGCGTCAGCGGTGTCACCCCTGGTGACGTGGGGATATACGCCCCACGGGGAGGAGACCCTGTATTTTGCCTCGGATACGTGTTGCTCCGTATGGCGCTGAAAAGCCTTCTCCCTGAAATAATGCGGCCGCCCTGTTTGTTTCTTCTGTCAGGCCCGGAGTTCAGAGGAGAAGATGTGCCACCTCAGAGAGGCAACGTCCCCGAATCCCCCTGCAGCGCTGCAGCCGGCCTCGTGCCCTCACTTAACGCAGATACAGCTCAGTCTGCAGCTAGCCCGGAGGCCAGTCCTAGCTTCGTTGGGTCAGAGGTAAGGTGATCGAAGCGTTTGTCATCTCTCTTTCTTGTTCTTTGCGAGTTTGACGTTGAGGAAAATGGCTTGAGATATCATCAGGTGGTTATGTCATTTTTTCACTGCTTTGACTCAACTAGTAACTTCCTTGTCGTGCCCATTAACTCGGCATTTGAAGCATCATAACATGTAAATTGTATCAACTCAAGAAAAAATAGTCAAAAACCTCAAAGCAAAGCAGTAAATATAAATGTGTTACTGTGGTTTTCACAAGGTTTTTGCATTAGGGGGTGGACCATCAGGCAACCTACATATTATAGGATGAGGATTGATGGAATTTCGTGATTTTTTTCCTCTGTGGTCATTAAAAGGACAGGGGCAATCTGAATCTAGTTCTAGCAAAATGCAGCAGGGTGATGCTTTGATAATTTTTTAAAACATTATATCTTTCATAGGAAATAATAATATGAAGTTAACCATTAAGACCAGGAATGAGTGTCCCCCAGCATCCCAGATTAGTTTATGTTTTGACTGAAAGGCATAAGAGACCATTAGATCGCATGTTTATAGTTTTGTGTATTTTAGAGGCCTTAAAAACAGAAAACAAAAACCTTATGCTGAAACAAAAACCTTGCATTTAGGTAACATAAATTTTCTGGAAAAATAGTGAGTCACCATTTGCAAACATAAAGAGATGGAGAGCCTCTTTCTTTGTGTGGTAATTTATCCTGGTTCAGAAACACTGTTGAATGCATTTTCTTATTTCTGAGTTGAATTTCTCCGAGTTCGGTTCCGGTTGGTGCTTTTTGATGTGGTTTCTTCTGTTGTACAACAGTGCGTTCGACACTGCGGCGCTCGCCCTTACTACTACTCTCCGGGTTCTTGAATTTCTATCATTATAAACTTCTGAAAACCAGTTCGTGGGTATTTGTATAGTATGTTTTTAATAAGACCTGAAGACCTGAATAGTTCTGGCTACAGAGGGAACGTGCCCACAGACGCTGACAAACATGTACAATTTACCTGGCGACTTCTTTAATATTCTAGTTATATTTGAAAACTGATTTCTCTTAGTGTAATTCCTGAAGTGATGTCTTGTTATGGGTGATGTATAGGACTTTATTCCATAACAAAGTGCTGCAGTTTGTAGCCGCAATAAACATGGTGTCAGATTTTTAAAAAGTTTTCTAATGATGTTTATTCTAGAAATTAAAGTCAGATTTTTTTTCTGACTGAAAAGCTAATTAAAATTGATCCCTCAGTGGGCCTCTCCTTTTCCCTCATTAACATTCAGCTATCAACATTCATCACTTTTTGTTCGCTGCTCTTTTTGGCCTTTCTTCACTCAGTTCATATTTTCCCACATTTTCTTGTTCTAACTTCCATCATCCTGTGAGAGATTTTTTCCTCTTTCATTCTTACAATGAATCTTTTTTACATTCTGTTCAACCCAATGCCCCAGACTGATATCTTTTGATAACCCTCTCTGGGCAGTCTCTATAATCAGTTTTCTTCCTTTTTCATTCCTTTTTCTTTAATATGTGCTATTTACCTGAGTAAAGACTGCTCTCCTTTCTCTGCTCAGTTTTTTTTTGACAAAAAAATCTCAAGCGCCCAAGTCTTCTCTGTTGGTCATGTTTTCCGTGCTTCTCGTTCTTGTTGCCCTTCTCTGAACTCTGCTTAGTCCACAGCCTTCTTCATTAACAGTGTCTATAGCTGGAGGGACTACATCAGATGAGGCCCTTATCAGTATTTTGTAGAACAGAATCACTGCATGCATTTTCCTGCATAGTCCCTAATTTCTCTTCTAAACTGCATGTCAGAAAAACAATCACTACTTGTTGTTACTGTTCCTGGATTCGTTTTTGTGACCATTTAAGCAATGGTTTAGCAAATGCCAGAGCAGGCGCAAGAAAAGGAGGAGAGCGTGTGTGGCACACACCACCAGCAGTGGTGTGTGGGTGTTTGTGCGCGCACATGTGAAGGCACGTGGGATCTCCCCTTTTGGCAGCAGCAAGCCATTAAATCAGGTCAGCTACCTTGTGAAACTTTATCCTCATCTGTTCACTCCCTGTTCTAGCCTGACTTCTTATCTTTATCGTACAGATATTAGTTGCACCAAGAGCCTAGTCAACATTAATCTCTATTGGTAAAGACTTAAAGGAAGTTAAAAAAAAGAGGAAAAGACATTAAACACTTTGGTCTTCTCAGCTTCATTTCTGTATCCTGGTCTGCAACAGGCCAAGTTTTTGTCTTCCTATCATCACCAAAGAATGTTTTCTTATTACGTTTTCTTCATCTTGACTTGTTCTGTCTCATCTTGTGCATTTGCCTGCCTGATATTGTCTTCATATGTTTCTGCTACATCTTATACTCCTCCCTAGTAATTTGCCTAGATCGTTGAAGAGCTCATAATTTAGCTGGAACAGTCCTTCCCATTCTTTGCATTGCAGTACTTTTACACATATATCCTTAAAGAGTTTCTGCAGGGAGCTACCAACTCTTCTGAACTCCTTTTCTATTAAACATGTTTCCCGAAGAAATCTTACGTATTTTTTCTTTGAGTTCACTGAAATCTGCTTTCTTGAAATGTGTTATGCCTTTTTTTAAACCAAATTGGGACAATCTAATGACTCTCAGACCTCAAAAAACGTATTGAGGTTGGAAACGCACCTAAATAGAACAATTGTAGTAATAAGATTTTGAATGTTACCATGCAACAAACTCATTTTTAGTTATTGGCTAGATAATTTTTATCTGTCTGAAAAAAGTGCATTTTCAAAAACCAAGATATATTTCAAATAGATTCAAAAAATTGTTGACTAAGTACACTATAAGTATTTTCTTTATAGTCGCCCTGTGTTTCAACTGCAATCTGTGGTTTCTATAATATTGAGTTAAAACTATGAAAGTCAACATGTTTTTGCTTTTTCTGAATTTAATTCTGTTTAATGCACATTAGACAAATTACTATCAGTATGCTTCTCATGTAGCAATAGAATTAGACGTATAACACTTTCAAGATCCATTTGTCAATTTGTAATCCAATTCGCATGAAGAAAATAGAGTGGATCCACTATCTTGTGCTTAATTATTACCTTCACTTATCCCATATCTCTAAGGAAGCAATAGCATTAAAATTATGTAAATAAAAATGATCAGATAGCTCATAAAAACAAATCTAGTAGTAAATAGGCTATTTATGTTACCAGTGGTTGAGGTAATTATTGAATGAATGAGTGAATTATGATTATCAAATGTTTTGGTCCAAACTCACTGTTTTTTTTCCTTCCTGCGTTAGAGGCTATTCAGCTATAACAGTATCTCTTCCTGACTTTCATCGTTCTAGTAGCCAGGTGCTAACGGGAATGCATTAAAGACTACAACTAGCATCTCCTGGAAGTTGGATTATTCATCCTCTCCTCAACAAGAAAAATGTATATAGAGAATGCTTGTTTTGGAATTATTATTGTTAATAATATTTATTTATTTGTTTATTTAAAATGTCAGTGAAATGAGCCTCAACTAAGAGTAGAAGGTGATGAGTTTGGTCATTGCTCTGTATCATCTGCAGGTTCACCGTACTCTTTAGTCCGTCGGTCCTTTTTCCTCAAACGTTGCTTTTTGTTAGTTTGCTCAAATTAGGATCATTGTATTTCCCTTTACAAATCAGATGATCAGTCTATCAGGTGTAGACTGACCACTGGCTGTAGCTGTACTGCTGATGTTTCACAGCATGGTGTATTAGCTTCAAAGATTCCCCCTTGCCACCCTTAACTCATAATTAGAAATCAAGTGTACAACTTAAACAGGATAGAATAGGGTCATTGTGATCTTAGCTGAGAAGAGATCACACACAATTAAAATAGGGATGAATTATGCTCTCCATTCTGACATTTGGTTTCTTTGTAGCTAGCCCTGAAGACCTTTCTGCTTGGAAGATTGTGTTATTTCATACGCTATTTGTTTTAGAATGGGTTTTACAAAGAACATCTCAATTAAAAAAAAATCTGATGCTTTTAACTTCATGTTGTTTCTGGTGCTTTCAGCTCAAGATGGAGCATGCTTGCTTCTGAAAGAATTAACAAATAACCTCGGGATAGCTGTTAATTAACTCATGTTCTTTCGTTTAGTTCTTCTTTAACCTGCCTTGCGTCTCTAACATTTGCAGATCATTTTACTCAGTAAGATTGTTCACAGAGGCAGTGTGGTAAATTGCCTTATCTCTTCATGATAGGAATGGAAATTGCAATGTTTTCTAAAAGGATAACTTGAATGCTTTTCTTGTGGTTGCTTGGTTACACTTGTTTTGGGTCTTCTTAAATGTTTTGTTTGTTTTACCATAAAATGGAGCTTCAATACGAGCATACTTTATACAGAGGTTGAACATGTGGTAGAGTGAAAAATACTGCCTTTAAGGCAGAATTTCAAACTGGAATTGCTTATCAGTCTTCACTGTATGACCTGGTAATGTGCAGGAAGAGCAAAACAATAATTTAAGTGGAGGAAATTGAGATTTAAGAAGAGGGGCAGGTGGAGGCTCTTTTACAAAGATTGGATTAGCAGAGCAGTAAACTTTTATTTTTCTGGAAAAGGGAGAACTGCACGGTGAAATACATTCCTTCAGAATAATAAGGATAAGACTATTTCTTCTCCACTAACTCTGCTGAACTATATATATCACAAAATGGTGCAGATGTCACCAGAATGTTTATTGTAATGCCTAATTCACAGAAGCTGTATTGGTGCATAGTACCATCAACAAAATCTAGAAAATTGTTAGACAAATAGGATCTGAATGAGATGGACAGCTCTGTAAAAGAAATGAATTCAAAGTATCCAGTAGGTATTCCTGTATTTAATGCAAGAACTATGGCTATGTTTCACTCTCACTTCTAAGACTATCTAGAATTATCGTCAGTCCATGAGCGTCCTGAAGTATATATTAAGTTCACTTGTGCTGTGATACTTCCAGAACTGTTCTTTGAAATTATGGGATTGTTCCCGTAATTTCTTTT